GGTTTTAATCGTGGACTATCTCTCTGGGTTCTCTACCTTCTTCAAGTAAGTTTTTTAGATCTCTTCGGTTGGTTAGATCTGGTTTCTTTGTTTGTTCTTTCTTTCGAAGAACAACTATGTTTTTTGTTCAAGTGTCAATCTTGTGTAACTTTTTGGCTTGCATGTTTTTGTTTGTATGTTTTATACCCTATTTTTTGTCAGATCTATATCTTGGCTTTATTTGGGTCTTTTTTTTTGTAAATCTCTTAAAGTGAGTTGTTCGATTGAGTTGGATTCAACTTCCTGTTTATTGTTATTAATAGGACCTCTGTAAGTCTCTTTTTCTTTCCTGTCAGTAGCAAGGTCACTGAGTTAGTGTCCTCGGCCTATAGGCACGGTTCTTTTGTGGTGCTTCTTTTTTGTTGCAGTGGTTTCTATTCTTGTTTGTATTATATGGTTCCTTGTGTGTGGCTGTATAGTTTTGAGTTGCTTCTCTTATTTTGTCGTGGTGGTTTCTATTCTTGTCTGTTTTTCTGTGGTTTCTTGTGTGTGGTTGGATAGTTAGCTTGACTTAGCATCTTGGAGTGTTTTAGGAATCCCGTTTATTCCTATCATGTCCATGTTATGGTTTTTGTTTGTTTGTTTTCTTCTCTGAATGGTTGGTCCTTCTGCTGTCATTGAGAGTCAAGGAGTATCCCAAATTGCAAAATTGGATTTTGAGGACCCCTTGTATTTACATCCCAGTGATACCAGTGGAACTCCCATTTTAAATCTAAAATTGAATGGAACTGATAACTATAAAATATGGGCTTGTGCTATGACTTTGGCCCTTGCAACCAATAACAAACTTGGGTTTATTGATGGAACATCTATTAAACCTAACAATGACCCTGTTCTTCAAAAAAAGAAAAAGGGACAGATGCAATTATGTTGTCCTAAGTTGGATTTTAAATTATGACGCTGAGTTCTATTTCTTGGACAAGTTTTTTCAAAAGATTTCTCCAAAGTTTAGGAGGAATTGAAATAAACTTATGACAAGGTTGATGGATCTGTTACCTTTAACCTCTACCAAAACAATAATTACTTAAGCCAAAATGGATCATCTGTTTATAATACTATCATAAGCTCAATTCTTTATGGAAACAATTTGATGCCCGTATTACTCTTCCCACTTGCACTTGTAATGCCTCACATGATTTCTTTAATCACAATTAATTAATAAAACTCATGCAGTTTTTAATGGGTCTTGATAATGTCTATCAACCTATTAGGATTAACATTCTTTTCAAGGGACCATCTAGGGAAAAGTCTCATCTGGGAGGCTCTGGTATGTCCTCTGGAAATAAAAGTAAGAATTTTGCATTTTTTTAGTAAAGTTGATGATAATAAGAAAAGAACTAGTAGACCATCAAATTTACTTTGTAAACATTGTGATATGTCTGGGCATACGATTAAAAGATGTTTTAAACTTATTGGCTTCCCAAAAGATTTTCAAAACAAACCACCAAGACCCTCAAATCAAGGCTTTAAATCCTTGTCTAGTAATGCTTGTATGACAGATTCTCAAGGGAGTGGAAAGCTTTTTCATTCATCCGCTCCTCTCTTCTCTAAGGAACAAGTTGCTAAACTTCTTGCCTTATTAGATCAAAAGAACCCGTCTAAGGCAGCTTAGGCTAATATGGCAGGTTTGTCTAATTATCATAAAACTGGATGGATCATTAATTCTGGAGCTAACCAACACATGCAATCTAATTTTTCAAATTTGGACATTGTTGTTGACATATATGATTTAAATTTTAAAAGTAAATTACCCAAATGGAACTGAGGCAAAAATAAATAAAGTTGGGGATTTGAAATTGTCAAACAATGTTACTTTATTTGACGTCTTGGTGGTCGCAGAATTTAATGTCAATCTTTTGTCTGTTCACAAACTTGCCAGAGATAATAAACTGTTTGTTGGGTTTGATGAGTCTCGATGTTATGTTTAGGATTCTCGTAAAAAAATGTAGTGGAGATTGGTAATTGATAAGTGTTAATTTATTAACCTTATTAAATCATTTTATTAACCATTTTTATTTGTTTTATTTGCCTATTAGTGTCATAATTGAGTCTTTTTAGGTCATTTTTATATCTATATATATAATAGTAATATTATATCATATCTAATGTTAATTCCCTTTTTATGCAGACTTTTGATATTTTTGGGCCAAGTCCTGCAGTAGTCTTGTAGGAGCATGTTTGGAAGAATCCTATAGCACCGATCAGTGAGCTGCACTTTTTGTCTGGGCCAAATTTCCTTGGGCTGCCCCTTTGAAGCTGCAGGATCTAAGGCCTTGGGCCTGGTCAAACCCCGTTTATGAAGATACATTTTGTCTCATTAGATAACCTTCTTATGCAAGCTTCCAACTCTATAAATAGGAGCTTAAGGCTTGGTTTTATATACACTTTTTGATACATACAACCTTTGGGTAAAACAATTGCTCTCTAATTATTATAGCTTTCGGTTTTCTTGCTTCCAACCAAGAACTGATTTTGTGAAGTTAAGTTGCAATTACATTCTCAAGTTTTAATACAAGTGCTCGTATTCAATCTTCATCTCCTTTATGTTCTTGCTTTCAAGTTACAAACGTTTTTCGACTTTCGTTACAAGTTCAAATTAATCGATTTATGTTGCTTTACATAGGATTTCATCCTTTGTGGCTCTCGATTAATTTCCGTAGACTAAATATTCTGTTTTCAAGTGGTTGCAAGTAATTCTACGCTTTTAAGACCTAAGGGAAAATTAAGACCTAAGCCGATGTGAAAGTACAAAGGTGTCTTATTAGCATTGTAGTCTACTATTTGTTTCAGGTGATTAATATTTCATTTGAAGATTACATTAAAATTAATTGACAACTGATTTTGTGTATGAAATGTATTGATTTTCAAAACCTGAGGTAATAGGAGAAGCCTATAAATAGTTTTAGTATCTGACAAATGCTATACTCCTACGGTGTAGGATGGTAAAACTGTGTTGTGCTAGGATTCACGACGTCTAACATAAATGATATCGTATCGATAACACGTTGACCGGTGTGTACTCTTGGGAGGTCATCTGACTCGATAGTTGATACTGTGACAGTTATATAAGATCATTTATTGATTTTAGATAATTGTGACAGAAATGTAATGCCACCTTCTTGCTGAATCATTTGTTTAGTGTCTTAATCAACCTTTGGACCTTGTGCTTCTTTTTAAGAATAATATTTTCGTAGTTGCTAAACAAACCTCCCAATTTTAGATAAATCAAATCACTCGTTTCGTCATCTGAAATTAGTTTTTATAGACTGGACTTTTGAATAACTTTGCAAAGCTATCTCTGTGGGAACGATATTTGTTACTTTACCATTATTACTTGTTACGAGACGACAGTAGTTCAAGGTGTATACTTGTGCCGAGTTCTATTTTTGTGTTCAAATCTAAGGTTGAACAAACTGACGAGCAAGTTTTTGGCGCCGCTGCCGGGTATAGCACGCTGAAGTTTTTCTTTTTAAGGTAAAGTTTATAAAAGTTAGTTTTTCTCCCACCTCTGTGAACACACTGTGCATGCCAAGGCTGTCGCATGGTGAATTTTTCCAACTTGATCCGGATATTGAACAAACTTTCAGACAACGAGGAAGAGTGCGAAGAGCTCTTCGAGCTTTAACCTCTGAAACAATGGCTGAAAATGTGATTATTGACGGAGAAGGTATAATTATAAATGAACCAAATATTCCACCTGAGAATGAGGCTCAAATCATCTTTCGTCTTGCAAATGCTAAAAATGGTGGTATTATGGCATATGATATTCCTAATTTAACTCAACTGCACACATGAATATGTAAGCCTACTATTGGTGCCACCCATTTTTCACTTAAACCACTAATGTTTCAAATGTTGCAAACTAATGGCCAGTACGTTGGTTTATCTTTTGAAGATCCTCATTCTCATCTGCGTTCTTTTATGGAAATCACAGATTCTTTTCTCATCCCTGATGTTTCAGAGGATGCTCTGAGACAAACTTTTTCCAATTTCACTAAGGGATCGAGCAAGAGCATGGTACAATTCCTTGCAAGCAGACTCTGTGACTACATGGAATGAAATGGCAGAAAAGTTTTTGAAAAAGTATTTTCCACCTACGAGGAATGCTAAATCCAGGAATGAAATCTGTATTTTTAAACAACTGGATGATGAAGCAGTTCCTGACGCATGGGAAAGGTATAAAGAGCTGCTGAGAAATTGACCTCACCATGGCATTCCATACTGTATACAACTAAAGACATTTTACAACGTTTTAAATGTCGTTGCTAGACAAATGCTCGATGCTACTACAGGCGGAGCTTTCACAACTTGCACCTATAATGAAGGTTTTGACATACTTGAAAAGATTTCTAACAATAACGGATAATGGTCTGACCCACGTGCAATGCCACTAAAGAAAACAGCTGGGATAAATGAGGTAGATGATGTTTCAGCATTAACAGCTCAGATCGCGAAGCTAATCTCAAATCTGACATCTAGCCCTCATGTGCAATCTGAAGCTAATACTTTTAATCCCAATGTTCTATCTGTGCAATGCATGTACTGTGGTGAAGTTCACTCTTTTGAGCATTGTCTTGGAAATTCTGAGCATGTAAATTTTGTCAACAATACTGGACCATTTTTGCAGACTTATAATCCTGGATGGCGAAATCATCCAAATTTTTCATGGCATAGTCCAGCTCTTAATCCGCCAATGCAAAAGTCTCAAGGACAGTCCAATTTTCAACCGCAAGGACAGTCCAATTTTCAACAACAAGGCCAATCTAATTTTCACTCACAAACGCATCAAAGCACTCATAATAATCAGCATGCTAATTTTCAACCACAAAATTCACCAGTCTTCTTTCCAAAACAAGCCCAAACAGCAAGCTGAATCATCTACTTCCTTGGAAGCAATGATGAAAGGTTTTATAATCCAAACTCAAGCGTCAATTAAAAATCTTGAAACTCAAATGGGACAAATGGCTTTGGAGATAAGAAAAAGACCAGTAGGTTCTCTACCTAGTGATATAGAGATACCTCAGAGGGAAGGAAAAGAGCATGTTAAGGTTGTTACTTTAAGGAGTGCAAAGAGTTATTTAGAAAATACCCAAAAAGAACAAAAAGAACCAAGCAAAGCAGAGATTGAAAAGATAAATGTAGTACAATATTCTGTTACCTCTGTACCAGATTTTGTGACTACCATTCCTGTGAACCATTCAGAGAGTACTAGTGAGCCTCAAACCATAGTCAAGCCCATTGATAGTACAGCCATTCAAGAAAGATCAGAATTTCCATTGTTATTCCCTGATGAACCCAAGACAACCCAAACTCCCAACGAAAATATTGTAGTAAATGTGTCACAATCTGGTGACAGTCCCACATTTGATGTCCAGACCAGTCCTATAATCCCTTGTAGAACTGAATCAGAACCTATTGTAAGACCAGTTTAGAAACTCATTCCAGCACCAACTCTTCAAAAGACTACTTCTCCTATTGCAGTCACTCCTTATATTCCTTATCCCCAAAGATTAAGGAATCAAAAAGAAGAATTACAATTTAAAATTTTTCTTGATGTTTTTAAACAGTTGCACATAAACATACCCTTGATTGAAGCTTTTGAGCAGATGTCAAGTTATGCAAAGTTTCTAAAGGACATTTTATGTAAAAAGAAAAAGTTGAATGAGTATGAGACTGTAGTTATGACTGAAGGGTGCAGTGCTTTGTTGTCCAGTAAAATCCCTCCTAAGCTGAAAGATCCTCGAAGTTTTACAATCCCTTGTTCAATTGGAGGAAAAGAGATAGGAAAAGCTCTATGTGACTTAGGTGCTAGTATAAACCTGATGCCTTTATCTGTCTTCAATACCCTAGGCATAGGTGAAGCTAGACCTACAATTGTAACTCTGCAATTAGCTGATAAGTCCATAACCTATCCCAGAAGAAAGATTGAGGATGTCCTAGTACAGGTTAAGAAGTTTATTTTCCCAGCTGATTTTATCATCCTAGACTTTGAAGCCGACAAAGACATTTCCATTATCTTAGGGAGACCTTTCCTAGCTACTGAAAGAACCCCGATAGATGTGCAGAAGGGAGAATTGACCATGAGAGTCCAAGACCAGCAAGTGACTTTTAATGTTTCTAATTCCCTTAGGTACCCTGAGGAAAGTGAAGAGTGTTCTACTTTAGGTCTGATAGAAACCTGGTGTCAAGAGAAAAGTTTGGGAGAAATCTCAAGTTTATTTGAGTCTAATAGTGATGAAGAAGAAGATTTTGAGGAAATAGAAACACCACAAGACTCTGCTGCTTTTGAAGTTTTAGAAAATGAGGATAGGAATACTCTTGTTACTTCCTTAGATGTTGCACCATACCTAGGGTTAAAACAACTTCCCTCATATTTGAAGTATGCCTTTTTAGGAGATGCAGGGAAGTTACCAGTCATTATTTCATCATCATTAGAAACTAACCAAGAAAAGAAGTTGGTTGACATGTTAAAACTTCATACAAGGCCATAGGATGGACCATTGTTGAACTCAAGGGGATAAGTCTCACCATTTGTCAACATAAAATTATTTTGGAAGACAAAAGTTTTACCTCCGTTGAGCCTCAAAGAAGGCTAAATCCCGTCATGAAGGAGGTTGTCAAAAAGAAGATTTTAAAATGGCTTGATGTTGGAATAATTTATCCTATTGCTAGTAGTACATGTGTCAGTCTTATGCAATGTGTACCTAAAAAGGGAGGACTCACTGTTGTACCAAATGAGAAGAATGAACTTATACCTACTAGAACAGTAACTGGTTGGAGGATATGTATGGACTATAGAAGGCTTAATAACGCCACTCAAAAAGACCATTTTCCATTACCCTTCATAGACCAAATGTTAGATAGACCAGCAGGAAAAGAGTTTTATTGTTTCTTAGATAGCTACTCTGGTTACAATCAGATTTCCATAACACTAGATGACCAGGAAAAGACTACATTCACATGTCCATATGGAACTTTTGCTCTTAGAAAAATGCCTTTTGGACCTTGTAATGCTCCTACCACTTTCCAGAGGTGTATGATGTCTATTTTCTACGATATGTTAGAACACTCCATGGAAGTTTTCATAGATGATTTTTCAGTATATGGGACATCATATGACATGTGTTTGGAAAACCTTGAAAAAAGTCTTATAAGATGTGAAGAAACAGATTTGGTATAATATCCAGGTTTCGTTAACTCGTACAAATTGGGTTAAGTAAATTTTTGGTAGAATTATGCATAACATAGTTGTACCCTATGTTATACCAACTTGTACTTCAGACGAGTTTTACGTCAAAAGTTGAGTTTATACCTAATTGACGTAAAGTTGATAATATAAACTTGAAGGGTTAAAACCGTCAAACGATTAAACTTTATATATATATATATATATATATATAATTAAGAATAAAAAAAAATAAATAAATATATATATATATATATATATATGGATGAGGCGGTGAATTTCACCGTCTCAGTTTCTGTTTTCTTTTTCTTTCTTTTCTCAATTTCTCTCTCTTTAGATATTTCATCTTCTCTTCAAATTTCACATCAAGTTACTAAGGGGATCGAGGCAACAATTATATACTCCGAATCCACTCTACGAACCCTTCTTAAAGGTATAAGTTTCATTAAGGTATTTATTGTAAGGTTATTTAAACCGGTTTATATCTAAGTTTACGGATTGATTTTGTCAAAATCATGATATATTTGATGTTTAGGATGCTAGGACTGGTTATATTGATGTAGAAATGAAAAGGGTATATTATAGTTTCATTATGGTTAGATTGTGGGTAAATGTTTAATCGTACACCAATTGTTCGGTTAAATGTCGGAAGGAGTAAAAATGCATGATTAAGCTTAGGTTAACGACCATTGGATTTGTTTTACTGTTTAGTTTGTTGAAGTACGTTTATAGCATGTAAATATAGCAAATCATGAAAGTTGGATCATAAAAGTTAGTCGGGAATTACRRAATCGAATTTTACCGACAATGTAACTCCCGTACTTTGATAGTGTATAACTCACAAACCGCAAGTCGGATTAAGTTCGTTTTTTGCAGTCAGGAAGACCATACTGCATACTACAACTTTCATTAAGGGTCAAAATTCCAATTATGACTCTAAGTGGCTCGAAACAGTGTGTTTTTGGGGCTGTTTACACTATATCTGGGATTAATTTACAGTTTTGTAAAATTCATATAAAATAGATGGATRATCCAAATGAGATGATTTCAAAAGCAATAGACTCGTTTGACACCAATCTACAGCTTCCATTTAGACAATATAATCTGGATTGGTCTCTAAGTAAGGTAAAAATGCTTTGAAATAAGAGGGACGAAAGCGGTTGGATCGAAAGAGAATAAGGTTAAGTTGTACGTTTGAATTTTCAATTCGTATCCAGCTGTCCTTCTTGAGGTCTACGTTGTTTAAGTAGATTAAGACTTAAGTAATTTTATTAGAATAGTGGTGGACCGATACTAGGGAACCGCCCACATGATATTGTCCGCTTTGGGCTGCCCCTCCCGGCAACAACCCCTCACGGCTTTAAAACGCTTCACTTGTAGGAGTAAGATCCCCCCTTTCTTATAAGGAAGACGAATCACCCTAGCCTCACCGATGTGGGATGCTCCTGCATTGCTACAGGAGCGTTGGGTTTAAGAATTGCAGATTTGACCGGCTCGAGGGAACGATGAGGCGGAAGTCCAAACATTCCCCCCCCCCCACATTGGTGCGGCCCTAGCTCTGATACCAATTGTTGGATCGATACTAGGGAACCTCCCACATGATATGGTCCGCTTTGGGCTGCCCTCCCGGCAACAACCCCTCACGGCTTTAAAACGCGTCACTTATAGGAGTAAGATCCCCCCTTCCTTATAAGGAAGACGAATCCCCCTAGCCTCACCGATGTGGGATGCTCCTGCATTGCTACAAGAGCGTTGGGTTTAAGAATCGCGGATTTGACCGGCTCGAGGGAACGATGAGGCGGAAATCCCAACAAATAGTTATATTATGGTTTCTATGCTTTATAAATAGTAACCGTTTATACATTCGTTAGGCACACGGGCAAGTCAAATTTGATCGTGAATTTCTGTTTGATCGTACATTAATTGTCAAATTCGGTTAAGGTACGGATTTCATATCTCACTTGACACGGGGATAGCCATTTGC